TGATAAGAAATAATTAGTTGTTCAAATTTAGTTTGGCAGAAAGATTCTTGTAGATTTTTTCCGTTGCGAAGATTGTATTTGTTTATGGGTTTTACATTATAAAGGTTTATAAATACACCAGGAGATAAATGATTTTTACATTTAAACATGAAACATAAAATATTATAAATATTTAGTTCGTATACATTTAAGGCTTTCATTTTCAAATTAATTAAGCGAGCTGCGTGTTTGTGATGCTGATAAAGAGATTTAAGTTTAGTTTTGTGCGCGCTTCCCCATACAATATTTGCATAACTTAAATGGCAGTGGATAAACGAATAATTTAGTTGTTTTAATTGTTGTTTATTTAAAATATGTCGATCTTTATTTATAATTATTTAATTATATAAGGAAAATTAAATAAAATAAAGATAAAAATTTTTAGTTAAATAATTAAAAATTAGTTTATTTAACTTATGTTAAAACGCACTAGAAACTAGTATTGTACCTAGAACCTAATAGTTAACTATTAGGTTCCACTAATATATATATAATTAGTTATAAACTATTAGTAGAAGTAAAAAACAAATAAAAACCTAGTAGTTATCTAATTCAAAAGTTTCCAAACAACTTTATTTTTTATTTATATTTCATTTATTTACTTTCTTTTAATTTTAGTTTTACCATAAATTAATTGTTTAATATTGTTTTTTATACAATTTATGTACCTTTTAGTTCTTAACTACCTAACGCTGTGTGCTAGAAGGTTAATAACACAACTGCATGGTAGGCAGCTGAATATCTTTTTAAAATAAACTATTATAAATTAGTTTTTCAAATAGATATCACAAATTTACAAATGCTGCATATATATATATATATATATATATATATATATATATATATATATATATATATATATATATATATATATATATATATATATATATATATATATATATATATATATATGAGCAAAAGAAAAAAGAATCTAAAGCTTTTAAAATATGAATTTGATCTCTGATGCTGCAGTTTCCATTTGTTTATATGTGGCTGTGAGTTGTTGGCATTTGATATTGTTATTAAACATTCTTGCAGATCTCTTAGCTAAATAAGATCTCACAGCACAATAAAGAGCATGTTAGATGGTTTTGACTGAGTTTATATGTTAAATGATTTTATTGTGAACTTTCGTTTTCTTCTCAGTCGAGATATATATTTTAAACAGATTTAACTGCTACCAAATATCTAATGAAATCAGATTTTAGACTATACAAGATTATTTGCGTACCAATTTATCTCTTTAAGACTAATGATATAATTATATGTTATGTCAAGAAATGGAAAACAAAGAGCCTTGTTACATACACACAATGCTGACTTGTATCCATTATTTAATAGGTTTCTTGAATTTAATGTCATCTAATCAATCTTTTATGCGAATAAACTCATCGGCATACATATAAAATTATTTAACTGCAACATACAGTTTAATAATATAAAAAAAGTCAGCAAACTATAACATATATCCGTAATTCTTAACAGCAGGTAAACATATATAACTTTAATTAAAGAGATATTTCAAAAAGGTGTTTTGAATATTTGTATATTAAAAATTTAATAAATACATTTTTTTCAAACAAATGTATTTTTACATACATTTTCATCACCGATTGTACTTAGTAATTATCCTTTAAGTTATAAGAAATGATTATTTACATTTTATTTGTTTTAAAAGTTATTATAAATAACTATATTCAGACATGTGTTTTTTTTACTAATATAAGTGACACTTTAAAATATTTTAATCATAATTTATGCAATAATAGCATTTAAATATAATATAATTCTAGAAGAAGCCTCTGAGTTTTTGTGTATTTACAGCACTCAGTTAATAGTTCATGCAGCATTTGTACAAATTGGTATCTTGCTTAAAAAATATAAAGTATAAAATTGTAGGTAGGCATGATTGCTGCTGTTTACCATGCTGTTATGAATGGTAAACAACAGAAGTTATTAACCTTCTAGCATACAGCATTGGGTTCTTATTCTTAGTTATAGCCTTCTTAGTTAGAACAAAAAGGCACATAAATTATACATAAAACTAAAATTGTAAATTTCACTCATTCCATTTAATAATAAATTCAATTATTTAAAAAAATTTCTTTTTTTTTCTCTAATTATTATAAAATTCATTTGTTTTTTTTTGTTTTTTTTGTTATTTTTTTTACAAATGTATTAGTCTTATTGCATTATTTTCTTTTGTATTTTGGTAAAGTAAAATAGAATGTATATCGGTTTCACCGCTAGGAACTAAAATCGCCGCCATCTTGGGAGGCCAATTTCGGCTTCATTTTTTTTCGGAAAAAACAATAGAATCCGCTATCCAGTTATATTTTGAGATCAGTGCTTTAGAACACACGTTTCCGTAAACAAATTATGTTAAAAAAATTTTCTGTTTCGCATAATAAATTTAAAAAACTTTCAAATTTTTTTTTTAAACTCCGAATATTTACATGGATAAAACTAAATTAATCACTAATTTCTTATTTTATTTGGATAAAAATAAGAGCATTCAAACTCAGGCGTATTAATTTCGTTAAAATAATTAATATCTGGGTCAGATTCATCGTCTAAGTTAAAATAGTTACTTTGAAAAAATTTAAAATTCTTTTCAAAGTTATTGTTAGCCATTTTCGCAGCTAATTATTTTGGGAAAATAAATAAATAAATAAGTAGTATATTCTTTTAGGACTTAGTGATTATCTTATTGTAAACCACTTTAGCGTATTTACCTGTGGCACGAATTTCTTTGGCTTCGGCGAGGAGTTGCTTACAAATATTTATAGTTCTTTCGCTGAAATCTTTGTTTATGTAGACATATTCGTTCCAGAGTTTCATTTTTTTGTATTTTTCTAGAATTAGTTCGTGGTCTTTAAAGTATAGAAATTTTACCGCAATAGTTCTTCTCGTTGTAATACCTTTCCCGTTATCTTTTCTCCCTGTACGATGCGCTCTTTTGATATACACTTCCTGCTTAATACCAAGTTTTTCTTTCGCAAAATTTTTTATTAATTCCTTGCTCTTTTCCCATGTCTCACCTTCAATTTCATCAAATCCCTCAAATCTTAAATTATTACGACGACTCCTATCTTCTAGTTCAGCTAATTTAATAGTGAAATTTTATTTTCATTTGACTTATTTAATGATTGTGTATTATTTTTAGATGTTTTCAAAGATTTGCTAAGTGTTTCGTATAAATGGTTTGAAAAATCAATGACTTTGTTTGATTCATTAAGTTCTTTTTCAAGTCCTTGTTTTCTTCTTTCATATTGATCAAATAATTTTCCAGTTTTTGAAAAAAGTCATTGAAGATTTTGATTATGGTATTCTCGTGCATTTCGATTAGTTCTTGAGATAAAAAATTTTTATTTGTCATTTTAATAAATTTAGTAAGTCAATTGATTTCAACGATAAAGTTAGATAATGATAAGAATAATTTTTATATAAGTTAGTAAATTCGATTTTTTTCAAATACACGTGTCCGTTCGCTTATCTTCTCATAATAATACCCTGTGGGCATAACATAATAATACCTTGTGGACAATTATTAAGGTTTTGTAAACTTTTATTTGCACAATCATTAATCAAGATCTATAATAGCCACAGATACCCTGGAAAAAAGAGGTACTTTTACAGCTGCGTAAAAATAAAAAACGGTGATAAAGCTTATAAAAAAAAAAAGTCCAGAAGAAGATTCAACAGGGAAAAGTAATTCTTCAAAAAACACCTTTAGACGAATCAATATACCTACGAATTTCAACTAACGAGAATACATATAACCTTGATGGTGAACGATTTAATAAGAACAATACTGATACTTTTAATGTGGTAGAAGTAAAATTTATGATTGTAAATGTCTAATAAATGCGAAAAACTGTCTCCCTAACATTTATAAAAAATGTTTTTTATTAGCAGCTTGCCCTCACATTTGGGGTAGGTAAACGTTTTAAAGTATTTTAGCCCCATAAACTCGAATCCAAGATATTTTTTTGATCATGAAAACAAAGGACAAACATATTTAAGTTTAAAGTTTGAAAAATGAAAGTTTTGATGTTTTAGATATGACCTGAAAGTTTCATATCCAAAACATTAAAAAGTCGTGTTAACGCCTTTGAAATCTGCTAAATAAAAAAACTATTTAAGCAAGCCCAGTATACAGCGGAACTTCAATGGACCTATATAGGTATTTTTAGTGGTCCACTCTAGTTTTGTTCATCTTCTCTTGGTTACTTAGTAAACCATTAGTGGCAGCCGCTAAAAGCGGTTAGCCGATGACTAGTCACTATATTACACGTTGGAATGTTATCAGCTGGCTATTTATAACAGATACCTATAATGTACTCTACTAAGTAACCGATGAGCAAAACTTAAATGAATTGCTCAAAATGACTATATATCTGCAAATCCACTACAACAATATTTGTGGGAGAATATTAACTTTTTACATGAAAACAAGGTTACTAGTAATCACCCTTGTAACAACACTAAGTAATCATATTAAAACAGGGTTGTCACTATAATTTTTAAAGTTTTTCCCTGAGTATTCCCTGAGTAAAGAACGTTTTTCCCTGAGTTGAACTCTTTAAGTTTCCTGAGTCTTTCCTGACTTTTCTATATTCCTTCTATCAACAAGATTATTATTTTCCTTAATTAAACACAATCTTTATATTTGACAAGCTAAAACTTTTACAAAAACACCCACATTTTGCAAACTAATTATTATATGTATTAGCAAAATATTTTTGAAAAAAGAAATTATTGTACAAAATTAAAAAAAAATGTTTTCCCTGAAATTCATGCTATTTCCAGGTTTTCTAGGTTGAGTGGCAACCTTGTAAAACTTAAATAGGCTAAAAAAATGCATGTAAATATTTTTTCCAGTTAATCTCAATTTTGATCTCAATTCTGAAAAAAAAAAAAAAAATAATAACCCTATATATTAAAAAAAAAATCCGTAATTTTTGTATATCTGTGGTTTTATAATTCAGCAGGTAAAAATACATAAGAAATAATAAATACATAATTTTGAAAAACATTTTCATTGATGATAAGTGTAACATTTTTTTACTGAAGATGGTTAAAAGCCTCAAACTTAGAATTCATCCTGAACTTATTATTTTTTTGAGCTCTTACTTATTTAATATTTGCACAACTGCAAAGTTTTACTATTTCTAAATACAAAAACTAATTAAAAAAGATCTAGCCTTACATAAATAATTTGTAAACAAATTAAGATTTCTAAAAAAATTTCTAAAAAAGTTACTTGAGATAAAATTCAAATTGATTGTCTGTTAGTTTAATAAAACGTTAAAAAATTATTTAACCTTGTATTATGAAAAAATAAATAAAAATACATTTCCAAAATAGCCAAATACGTTACTAAAAACATGATTATGAAAAACAAACTGGACCAATAAGTAAGCCAAACTGTTCTCCGTCGTCCGCTATATCTGTGACTCCTATGTCTTGAATTGGTAAATTTTCTAAGCGATTTGAAGTTATTTCAAAAACGCTCTCTCGCCATTTATCGTCTTTAACCTAATATTTAAAATATGTTTTAAAATTATATTTGCAATAATTTTTTTTTAAAAACTTTGATTGTTCTTAAAAAACACTTTACGAAACAAGTTTGATATTCTTAAAGAACAAAGCAAGTATAAATTAGTAAAAAAACACTCAGCTAACTTGAGCTTCTATTTTTTCCTGCTGTGTGTGTCAAGGGCGGATCCAGACCATGTCGTAAGGGGAGGGGGAGGGGGAGGGGCGCGATTTTAAATACTTTTCGATTTGGGGATCTAGTAAGTTAAGTTTAAATCTAGTTATATATATATATATATATATATATATATATATATATATATATATATATATATATATATATATATATATATATATATATATATATATATATATATATATATATATATATATATAGTAGTTAAGTAAAGTAAGTTTGTCTCCCTACGTATCAATATCGAATTGTATCTGGCAATATTAAATATAGTCGGCATATTTTGATATTTTAAACTCGGTAAAAAGTAAAAAATTGAGGCTTTTTTTTTTGTTGTTGTTTATGGCACTTTATCCCCCCCCCCCCATCACTTATTTAAAAAAAAAATTAGCTCTTCGCGCTGTCTGCGAATCTAGATTTGGCCAGTTACAAATCCTGGATCCGCGCCTGCATATATATATATATATATATATATATTTATATATATATATATATATATATATATATATATATATATATATATTATATATATATATATATATATATATATATATATATATATGTATATATATATATATATGTATATATATATATATATATATATATATGTATATATATATATATATATACATATATATATATATATACATATATATATATATATATATATATATATATATATATATATATATATATATATATATATATATATATATATATATATATATATTTATATATATATATACTATATATATAGTATATATATATATAAATATATATATATATATATATATATATATATATATATATATATATTTATATATATATATACTATATATATATACATATATACATATATATATATATATATATATATATATATATATATATATATATATATATATATATATATATATATATATATATATATGTATATATGTATATATATATATATATATATATATATATATATATATATGTATATATGTATATATATATATATATATATATATATATATATATATATATATATATATATATATATATATATATATATATATATACATATATATCTTATACTGCTGAGTTAGGTGAGCATGATGATGTCATACTCACCTAATGTCAAATAGCCTGCTGCCGGGGGCTTCAGTACATACATCGACTGACAAATAGCCTGACTCGCCGTGGAGTGCTGCTACATTGACTGAGGGTTTGGTATGGGTCAGCAACATTTTCACTCATTATTCTTCGTTTTCCCTCATCGTTTTCTAAAAATGCTCACTTAATTTAGGCTAGCAAAAAAAGTGAGCAATTGCGCATATAAATATGCTATAGTAGATATATATATATATATACATATATATATATATATATATAAATATATATATATATATATATATATATATATATATATACATATATATATATTATATATATATAAAATATATATATATATATATATATATATATATATATATATATATATATATATATATATATATATATATATATATATATATATATACACATATATATATGTATATATATACCAGGTGTAGTAATTGAAAACCGGGTTTTTTTAATCAAAGAAAACACTTTTTTTTTAATAAAAGATTATAGATGGTTTATTTAAAGTATTTTCCATCGCTAGCTACACATTTTTCCCATCTTTCAGGCAACTTACAAATTCCATCTCGATAAAATTGTTCGTTTTTTGAAGCGAAGCACTCATCAACCCAATTTTTGACTTCTTCAGCTTCATTGAAGTGCTGGTCTGCAAGCTTCAAAGACATTGATGAAAACAAATGGTAATCGGATGGAGCCAAGTCTGGTAAATATGGCGGGTGTGGTAATTCTTCCCATTCAAGTGCATTTAATGTATTTTTCACATCTTTTGATTTGTGTGGTTGAGCATTGTCATGTTGCAAAATCACTTTTTCATGTTTCCATTCCGGTCGATTTTCAATCAATGAATGGTTCAAATTGATGATTTGTTATCGATAGCGTTCAGAATGTACCGTTTGATCAGATCCCAGTAGCTTATAGTACACAATTCCCTTCTAATCCAAACACACAGCATTCTCTTCTTTCCAAATTGATTACTTTTTACAGCCGATGTTGATAGTTGTCCTGGTGAAACCCATGATCTTTTGCGTTTTGAATTTTTGAAAAATATCCATGTTTCATCTCCAGTAACGATTCGATGCAAAAACCCTTTCTTTCTTGCTTTTGAATGAGCATTTCGCAAATGGTTTTTTATCTTTCTTGCTGTCTTTCGTTCAATTCATGTGGAATCCATTTTCCCAGCTTTCGAATCTTTTCCATTGCTTTCAAACAATTGGAAATTGTGTTTTGACAAACATTTAATGCTTCTGCCAATTTTTTTTGAGTTTATGTATCGTCTTCATCCAATGATTTTTGCAATTCGCTGTCTTCAAACGTTTTTTCTTGACCTGGACATTGTTTGTCTTTCACATCAAAATCACCACTTTTAAATCGTTTAAACCAGTTGTTTTCGATGGAATATGTTCCCTATAAGCTTCCTCAAGCATTCAATGATTATCAGCAGCAGTTTTCTTTAAATGGAAACAAAAAAGTAAAACCTCCCGCAAATGATGCTTTTCTGGTACAAAATTCGACACTTTTAACATAATAAAATACAATGTTGTTGTATGAGACGCGTTCAATTGACAACTAATTTTTGTAGAGGAATGTTAAAGCTGTAAAAAAAAAATTAATTTATATTGAGTACTCGAAAAAACGCCATCTATGTGCCAAACCCGATTTTTAATTACTACACCTGGTATATATATAAATTTATGTATATATATATATATATATATATATATATATATATATATATATATATATATATATATATATATATATATATGTATATATATATGTATATATATATATATATATATGTATATATATATGTATATATATATATATATATAAATATATATATATATGTATATATATATATATATATATAAGCATATATATATATATATATATATATATATATATATATATATATATATATATATATATATATATATATATATGTATATATATAAGCATATATATATTGTATATATATATATATATATATATATATATATATATATATATATATACATATATATATATATATATATATATATATGTATATATATATATATATATATATATATATATATATATATATATGTATATATATATATATATATGTATATATATATTATATATATATATATATATATATATATATATAAATGTTTATATATATATATATATATATAAACATTTATATATATATATATATGTATATATATACATACATATATATATATATATATTTATATATATATATATATATATATATATATATATATATATATATATATATAATATAAACATTTATATATATATATATATATAAGCATTTATATATATATATAAATAAACATTTATATATATATATAAGCATTTATATATATATATATATATATATATATATATATATATATATATATATATATATATATATATATATATATATATATATATATATATAAGCATATATATATATATATACAAATTTTTTTCAATTCAAAAATATTCTGAACTTTGTTCCCAACCTCTCCCATGCTGCAACCCCTTGATAACATTTGCAATTGTGTGACCCCATAATCAAATTTATAACTATAAATGTGTGACCCCATAATCAAATTTATAACTATAAATTTGATTGTGGTGACCCCAACAATCAAATTTATAGTTGCTCCTATATTACTGCATTTTTGCAGCTAATTATGTTTTTTGACTTCAAAAATCTGATTTATATTTATATTTTTACTTTATAGATTTTTTATTACAAATTTTTTTATAATTGATTTACAATAATTCATCAACAAAACAATTTGTTATATCTTCCGGTTAATATTTGCAAAGAATTAAGCATTGTAAATATTTTATAAAACCTCAACTTTAAAGCGATTGTGTGTGACTTTTAATTGTGTAATCTGCATTGCACAATAAGGTTGCATTGTACTTTCAAAATATTTGATTTTTAGTTTACCATTTTGAATGTATGGTGTGGCAATGTTTAGAATTTCTTTATCTTATCTTTTCAACAGTCACAACATTGTTACTTTGTGACATGGCCATCAACAATGTGCTTCACTTTTATTTTATATTACATATGAAAATATACTTGTGCTACCCATTTAACGATTAAATGAAACTTTTAAAAAACATCACCAGTAAACATGTGCTCACTCATATAGAAAAAAATAAAAGCTTCTGCTGTGGCCGTCCATCTGTTGTGGCAAACCATCTGCTATGGCAAATGTTTTTACACTTTGCTTTAGAAAGATTTATTTCAATTTGGTCTGTAAATAAATGTTATAGCAACTTATAACAAAGCATTGAATTTGTTACATTGTTTTGGAATTTTTTTCAAGATGTTTAATCAAAGATTCAAGCAGTTATATCAGTTCAAATGTTTCAATTCTTTTCATGCCATCAACTTTAGATAGAGTCTTTGCAATAGGGCCAGTAAAACAATCCTTTTAATTAGTTGGAGCATACAATTTAACAGTTATATGCCTCAATGGTAATTTGTTACAAAGAGTATTCAATTAGACCAGAATAATTGCGTCCTGTTACTTATTCCAGATTTGAAAGAAAACCTCTTTTTTTCCTGAACTTGTTATTGTGTTTGTACAAACCCCCTCTGATTTCTAAGGACTCATCAGATGCCCTTATAACCATCTAATTATAAATAACTATTACAACTATATTGTCTGAACTTTAAATGACGTCATCCAAACAATGAAAGTTTTAAATTTGTTTGTCTCATATTTTAACACTTTTATTTTAATCTTTTAACACACGTTTCCCAACTAATATATTTATTTAAAAAAAAAAAAAAAATTATTCACGTTTCATAACATATGATAATATATTAAAAAAATCCAAAAAGTTTCAGATATTTTAAATCTGAAAATTTTAACCCCTCCCCCTGCATTGATGCATAAATGATCAATTTTACCTTTCTGAAAACTGCAATCCCGCATAGTTAAATTTTTTTTTTCAAAGTCATTATTTATATATAGTGGCACCATAAAAATTATCTGGCAAATTAAAAATTTTGAAAGTATGATATACCCAATTACACAATGCACACTTAAAATACTGTAAAGGGGTTGTCTATAAATTATGTCATGCTATAGGAGATGGGTAAGTAGTTTTGTGACAACTCATACAGGACTTGTTGCTAAAGAGTTACAATGTGTGACAAGGGTGGAGGGGTCAAATATGATCCATTGCATTACATATTTTATGGACCACCCCAAACTATAAAGATTAATTGTACAATAATCACTGTAGTCAGAGTATCGCTTAAATTTAAAATGATAAAAGGAAACTATTGATTAGCGTAAACATTAAATTAAAACAGTAAATTATTTTCAGAAGGTCTAGTGGCAACCTCTGGCAAATTGTTAGACAAAAACTGTTAGGTTTGTTATGCACAGGTTGGAAACCATTGTAATATTTATACAAAAACTTTTTGTATAAATATTACAGTGATTTTTAAAAAACATAAATAATTCAGATAAAACTTTCTTGGGTCATGAAATGTAAATACCATTTTATCAAATAACTTTAAACAGTCATTTAGCAACATTTATTAAACTACATGTACAGACAACTTTAACAAACTAATAGTAAAATTTATTTTAAACTTTTTTACCTTGCAATCATCTTTAATCGCCATTAAATTTAATTTCAGAGCAATTCCATGACGAATATATGTTTCATCGGTGTTAATAGAAATTTTACCATTGTGAATATGTAAATGAACATTTTCGTCAGTTTTAATTGTAATGTTACTGTAAGAATTCTTGCAGAAATAAGTTATATTTTGTCGACACTTGGCACTAAGTAATTGCATCATTTTTAATTGTACCATATCACTGGAATAGGTTATCTTTTAAAATAATAGCAATATGTGTAATGGTTTCAATAACAATAACATTATGTATAAATAATAATAAAATTCAATAAAATTGTATTATAATACCAATATAGTAATAAAATACATACAAAAAAAGTTTTTAGCATAATATATAACATATATGAACTTATAGTAAAATTATTACTTACACCACTCTCAGCCAAAATATCTTTATAAGCCCACATAAGGTGGTCTTTACCAGTGAACCAATCAGCTTTTTCAACCTAAAGATTTAAAAATAATTCAAAGAAAACATTTTTAGACTCAACATAAGTAAAGAAAGGAGATAAGAGAAAATGAAAGGTAAGAGTAAATGAAATCTAAAATTTAATTTTTTCATAATTAAATTTTGTTGTTCTGGAAAAAATAGTTTTAAGCAAAAACTTGAGGAAATGTTTTTTTGGTGAAAAGTAAACATTCCGATTGCTAATGCTACTAATACATAATTAAAACGTAAGTAAATAGGGCTATCTAAAAAACCTTAAAACAAAAATGACTCATACATTTTTAAATTATACATAAAACAACATTGAAGAGCAATTGTCATGCAATAGAAATAATAATAAAATCAGTAAAGTTTCAGAGGAATAAAATTAGTAAACAGCTTATTAATGAAAAAACTAAATACAGTAAGAATTGTCAATGCTGCCACTATTTGTAGTTTACAAATCAATATCATGTCTATACAAAGACTGGTCTATAGAGAAACTACCAAACATGAATTGGATAGAAGAGAATCAACTTATTCAATAGCTTATACCAAAGTCTTTACACCAGCAGTAAAAGTGATTCCAGATAATTAGTTTGGCCTACCTAAATTGAGTTAATTTATTTATTCAATTACATGTATTCACATTCTTAAATGGACAGGTCACATATGTTACTTACATAAATTTGCATTGACAATAACACCAAGCTTTACCTTCAAAATTTAACAACAACATTAACTAACATACCAAACGTTGCACTTCACAAAAAGATATGAATACAAAATGACACACAAAACAAACCAAGAGTTAATCTCAGTAGTTAAAGTCAAATGCTTATCAAATGCTTATACATCCAAAGTAAAACCAAAAGCCAAAGAAATAAAGATCGATTTAACATTCAAAATAACTAAAAGTGAAAGTGCTGCAAAGTTTGGAAAGAAACATTGCCAAGTTAAAACAATATGCTAATGTGAAGCTTCTAGTTGCAAGTGGTTTTAGACTAAAGGTGTAAGTGGTGGTAGACTAAAGGTGTAAGTGGTGGTAGACTAAAGGTGTAAGTGGTAGTAGAACTTTTGTCTCACAATCAGTAGATTTGAAGTTAAAATCCACCTTACACATGTGGCATTGTTAACTTAAAAAAAGTAGTGACACCAATGTGAAGTTGCAAGACTTTTGTCAATAAATTTAATACAAAATTTTTTTGTATAAAAAAGCTACAAACCTTCTATTGACTATAAAACAACTTTTAATTTTTTTTGTTTAATTAATTTTGTTTTTGATATATTTAATTAAGATTTTTTTTGTAAATTTAATTAAATAATGTTACCATTAGTTGTTTTTTTAACAACTAGTAATATTATATAAATGTTACAGTGCATTAAATTCATAAATAAAAAAAAAAAAAATTCAATAAAAGTCTTACCAATGGCTGTTTCGGAAAGATACATGTTTCAAGAGTGCTAGCATTGCAATACACTAAAAAAGCATCAACTGGAGAACCTTCGTTTGGATCAATCCAATAATCTCCTATTGTTGTTATAAAGCATTTTAACAAACAGCAACAAATTAAACTATTAACTATTTTATGTAAATGAATAAAAAAACATAAAAATTAAAAAAAATAAGAAACATAAACATTATTTACCTGATTTGCTATTATTATTATTAACAAAAACATGTCTACATGTAATTGCTGGATGCATTCGAGTTCCTAACTCATTTTTTATAACAAGATCATCCAATACAGTATTCCAAACTTTATTGAAGTTTCTTAAATTTTCTTGGGTCTATATACAAATTTTATATACAAATACAAATTTTACAAATATACAAATTTTTGTAGCAAAAATAAGTAAAGACTAATAAACAATTAAAATGAACGTTTTATTGTAAAAGCTTACTCGTTTAATCAATTTTACTAAGTCATTATTTTGAATGTCATCAAAAGTTTCAGAAGTTTCACTGATCTAAACATTTTGCATTAAATAAAATTAAAAATAAATTAATTATTTAACTATCAACTATTTTAGAGGAAATAAAAAATAAATAGTACTTATGATGATTTTTATATAATTACAGAAATATTCATTATGAAAAAATTGGAGCTTTTCAATTTTATTTAAAACAACTTACAGACTTTCTTTTTCTGTTGTATTTTGATATAGTTTCAGATAAATCTCCAAAGCCAAAGTTCTGCCAATAAGTTCTGGAGTTTCCTATCAACTCACCTGGAGGACCAGGAGGACCAGGTGGTCCAGGCAAACCTGATAATCCAGACAAACCTGGTTCTCCAGGAGCTCCCACAACTCCTTGATCACCAGTTTGACCCATGGGACCAAGTGATCCTTTAAGTCCAGGAGGACCATCTAAGCCATCTGGCCCCACATCTCCTGAAGTACCCTACATTAAACAAGAGCAAAGATTTTATGAGTTAAACAAAAAGTTTTTTTATTACATTCAATATTTTAAAATTTAATTACCTTTAAACCAATATTTCCAACAGGCCCAATTGCTCCATCATCTCCTTTTGCTCCAATATCACCAATAGGTCCTTGAATGCCAGGTTGTCCCATAGGACCTTTGAAACCTTTCATACCATCTTTACCATCAATACCATGCTTACCTGTATCACCAATATTACCTTGATCTCCTCTCTCACCTTGATTACCTGGGGATCCTGGTCTGCCATCTGGACCTCTGGGACCATCAGCTCCATTTTCACCTTTTATTCCAGGAATACCAGGCGAACCCATTTCTCCTGTGCTTCCAGCTCTACCTTCATCGCCTCTGTCACCCATGTAACCTTTTAATCCTTTAGATCCTGCAAGCCCATTGGTTCCATTAACTCCATCTTTCCCAGGACGACCATCCTCACCCGGTAGCCCAGGTGGTCCAATAGGCCCTGTCATTCCTGTCATTCCACTCTTTCCATGTTGCCCATGTAAGCCATTTTTACCTGGAAATCCTTTAGTTCCATTAGCGCCAATTGGACCTGGCATACCTGCTCTACCTTGAGCGCCTTGTTCTCCAATTACACCTGGATAGCCAGGTTCACCTGCAATTCCCTTCTTTCCTTGTTTACCTTTCTCACCATTTATACCAGGAAGTCCATCTTGACCTTGAGAACCTTGTAAACCTGGTATACCAGGTCGCCCAGAGTCACCAAAATCTCCCACTGGGCCTCGAGCTCCCTCTTTTCCATTAAATCCATCTGCACCAGATGGTCCAACTGGACCTACAGGTCCTGGCTCTCCTTGTAATCCAGACATTCCAATAGTACCAGGTTCACCAATTGGTCCTATATCTCCAACATCTCCCTTTTCACCTAATTCCCCAATTTCTCCCTAAAATATAATATGTAACTTGAAATAGTGTCATAATTGTGATCATTTATATATAAACAAATATAAATAAGCAATATAAATATAAAAAATAATATCTAAAATAACTTATGTATTGTATGTAAATAATAGCAAAACAAAAAAGTACTTAACCAAAATTAACTTTAATTATTAAAATTAGTCTTTAATTACCTTAAATATTGCCAGTAAAATTTAATTTCAAGACAATTAAAATTTTGAAAGGGTTTCATTTATTACAAGAAATTTCTTTGTAAAATTAAAAAAAAATAAAAATAAAAATAATTTTAGAACTTCAAAATAAACAGAACTAATAATTTAAAAAGTAAAGAATCAGCATTTTTAGTATAGTATTTTTATAATAAATCTGAAAAATCTGAAAAACTTTAGTTTAGCACAATTATATTAATATAAACCCATGCAAACTCATGCAACCATGCATACAAGTTTATGCAACTAAAGAGAAATTATGAAACTGCTAGTTTTTACTACATTTTGAGTAAAACCACTAACAGTCAAAAAAAAATTTGAAAAAGATAATCAAATTATAAACAACTTCAAACATCAAAATTTTTATACATGCAATTATATCTCATAAAGTGCATCAGGAAACCTAATATATCAAACTTAAATCTAAAAAAATACATAGTAACCATAAGGCAAATTACATAACAACCATAACAAAAATGTTACCATAGTTCCAGCATCACCTTCAACACCGATTTCACCAGTTTCACCAGGATCACCCTAAAAATGAAAAAAGTTTAAATCATTTACAGGTTAGCATGTTTCATTCATCCATATTTTACAAATATATGCTTATATCTTACTCTGTCACCATTAGGTCCTTTAAATCCTTTGGGTCCAGGGTTGCCATCACGACCCTAAATATTTATTATCTTTATAAAAATTAATAATTTCTAATTTTAACCTTTTTATATATTAAAAAAAAATAGTAATACTTACATTAAGCCCTGGCAAACCAGGAGGTCCAGGAAAGCCAACCTTTCCAGGTGGTCCCATTTCACCATCATTTCCTGGAAGTCCATCTGCACCCGTAAGCCCATCTGCTCCCTAAGAAATTATAGATCAATAAAAAAAATGAAAATGATGGCTAAATTACCTTATAAACGAATGTTAAAATTTTTTAAAATACCCTTTCTCCTCGACTGCCTCGTACACCAGGCTCTCCAGTCATTCCTGGATATCCCTGTTTAAAATTGAAAGAACATTTTAATAAAATACTAAAGCATACAAAATATGTAAAAAACATAAAACAACATACTGTAGGACCATCATTTCCATTTACACCAGGTTGGCCTTTCAACCCTTGCAATCCCTGTAAAATGCATGGTAATTATAAAAATATAAAAACTAACAAAAAATATAACAAGAATATTATTAAATAAACTAACAGATTTTCCTTTTGCTCCAGAAACGCCTTTACTTCCTAACTTTCCATGTGCTCCTGACTGACCCTGTAATCCTGGTCTACCAGGCAATCCTTGTAAACCTCTATCACCAGGCAAGCCATCTACACCAGCTGCTCCATTTTCTCCATTTTTCCCTCTTGTGCCTTGTGGTCCATGAATTCCTGCAAGCCCAGGTGCACCTGGCTCACCCTTGAAATTAATAAAAAATTTCAATTAAAATATTACATTCTTTGTAATAAAGTTTTTTAAATATGTTGCTTCTTTTTTTTATTTACTTATTTACATATACATAATTTATTTATATATTTTAGATACAGAACTTATTTACTACATTTATGAAAATTAACATATACAAATTATATGAAATATAAAAAATAATCAAGCAAAAGAAACTACAAATAAGATAGTACATACAACTTGACCAGGACTGCCAGGTTGACCAGGTTGACCTTTGATTCCAGGGGCACCATTTTCTCCTGGCAATCCAATAGCACCTCTCTCACCAGGAATTCCCTGAACACCTGGATTACCTGGTTGTCCTTCTGCTCCTTTGTCACCACGTCGACCCTTTAAAATTAATTTATAATATATATAGTTTTGTTCGAAAAAGAAACAAACAATAGTGATACATTAATGCTAAAACATCATATAAAGCATTACATTTTCCCCAGCTGGTCCAGCAGTGCCAGGCATACCTCTGATACCAGAATCTCCCTGTAAATAATAAAATAGTAAGAGATTAAAAAATTCCAAAAACTGTTCATGATAAATAACTTGAATTTTTTTCTATTTTTCTATAATAAACATTTCCACCACCATTTGACAATTTTAGTTTAATTTGCCAATAAGCACATTTAGCAACATTTTATTAAACTATATAATAATTTGAATAACTTTTTACCCTAATTCCTTTTTCACCCTTAAGACCATTTTCTCCAGGTGAACCAACTTCTCCTAAATCACCTGAAACTCCATTTACGCCATTAGCTCCAGGTATGCCCTGAATTCCTTGTAGTCCATTAGGCCCTGGATTTCCATCTCTACCATTTGTCCCCATCTGTCCATTTTTCCCATCTTTTCCAACAGTACCAGGTTGACCAGCTTCTCCCTGTTCTCCAGAAAAACCTTTAGATCCTTTAAAGCCAGTAAATCCCTGTAAAAAAAAATCATTATATATATATATATATAAAGAACATTTCCAATAATTATTTTTTATTAAATTTTTTTTTTTTCAAATATTTTGTTGTAATTGTACTTTTTCCCCTTTTAAACCATCTCGCCCAGGATCACCAACAAGACCTTCTGACCCCTAAAAAATTAAATAACTTGAGATATAAATTAAAGAAAAGTAAGAATCTTCATGTACAAAAAAACAAGTACAAATTTCTTGAATAATAATTTTATGCTGTATAAATCTTTTAATTTTTTAATTACTTTTGAATCTAAATTAAATTTTGTTAATCATAATATAATAATAAATATTAAATAACAATCTGGCAACAGCCAACAATAAAACAAAAAAAGTTTGCAAAATTTAAAAACAAAATTCTATACATACCTTTTCACCTGTTTGTCCAGGTTCACCAGGACTACCTGGTAATCCTTGTAAACCATTTAGGCCTTCAGCACCAGGTTGTCCTCGCTGACCTGGAAGACCTGATAAACCTTGTTTACCTATTTGACCTGGTGGACCAATGGAGCCTTTATCTCCTGGTTCACCGAATTCACCTTTTGTACCTGGGGAACCCCTTTGACCACGATCACCTAATGCACCTTTAATTCCTTTAAAACCAAGTTCACCAGGAGGACCACTATCACCCTAAAAATAAATGTCCAAAACGTATTAAAAATAAATTAAAAACTATTAAGTAAACCCAAACAACACTAATCTGATAAAAATAATATTTTAGTAATATTTTAGTATGATCTTAGATAACCATTTTGGAAAAAAAAAATTACAATATTTAATAGTAAAAGCTTAATAACAAAAAATTATGAATTTTACTGTTTCACCGATCATTCCTATTGGACCAGGTAAACCAACAGGACCTGGTAAACCCTGAAAATAAAAAAGTAATTATTACTTTATAATACATAGCAAGCCTCCTGGGAAGTGTGAGATGTTGCACGCCTTGTTCGTCTACACTTAAAGTAATTTTTTTAGACAACTTGACCACATTTTTATATAGTAAGCGTTTTGAGTATTTGTGGCAAAATAGACATTTAAAATAACAAATTAGAAACTACGATAATAAATAATAATAATAAAATACCCAAAGAAAGGAAAAGAATACTAAACAAAATAGAAAATCTAAATAAAATAAACTAAAAAAATATTGACAATTAAAAAAATTTTTTAAAAATATTTTACTGTTTTTGTTTCCTTTTTTTTTTAAGGACGTTTGTTTTTTTCCACTGCCAAAATTAATACAAGTCAAGAAAGAAAGTGGATAAGAATATAATGAAAACAAAACATTTTTTGATATACAACTTATTTACAACTTTTGTCAGTCAGTAGAGAATAACTTATTTTTGTGCTACAAATAAATTTTAAAATTTGTTTTTTAAATGTTTTCACTAAACTTTACTGTTTTTATCAATGCACAGGAAAGCAAGAAAATTAATTACTACTTATTTGAAAATTTTCTTTTTTCTTTTTCAACAAACATTTCATGTAAAATAATAAAATGTCATTAATGCTAATGTTCAAATACAAAATATTTGGTTGTTTTCACATTTGGTTGTTTTCCCCCATTGAAATAGTCTGCACATTTGTTGGATTCTCCAAATTGTGCATTTAAACCCGATAGTTTATTTTCTGATGAACTTTTGTTATTGATGCTTCAAAATCTGTATTGTTATATTACTGAACTTTTTTAACAAAACTTTTAGGAGCCTATTCAAAACATTTTTTTAAGTTTTTAAATAAATTTTTTCAAATCATTTCATTATCTCTAATACATCTCTAAACGTCGGGCAATATAAAGAAAACAATTTAAGACAGGCATCAAGTATTGTAAATACATTTAAAAAAGTAACCATGGTATTCTTTTATTTAATTTCTTACATCATAACAAAATTTATTATTCAAATAATATATTTTCAAATAAATAGAAATTTATTTTCTGATTTTTTTTATTATATAAGTACGATAATATAAGTTTTTGCTATGTTTGAGAAAAAAAAACAAACATAGCAAAATCTAAAAACTTAAAGATGTGAAAACAAAAAAACGTAACAAAAAAAAATTAAAAAGTTTCTCATAGTTCTAGAGTACATAGCAAATTAGTTTCATAAAAACCATGAATAAATTTGCATATCAAAATTTTCAATTATAATTATAAAATGTTTTTTTCTTTGTAAAACATGTATCAAATTCTGTTGCTATAACAACCACCCTAAAAAAAAGTATTACAAAAGTTGTATAAAAATTTTATAAAAAAAAAAAAATTTTTTAATTTTCTTTTTTTTAATTACTAAATTTTTCTAGTTTATTTAATTAAAATTTGATATTTTGTTACAATTTTGTTTCTTTTTTTTAGTATTGGTTTTTAAACGTTTTTACTTTAAACATAGATGAACAGGGCATGCAACCGCACGCGCTTCCCGGGAAAGCTTGCATAGTTTTAAACCTACTTTCGTATTGATGTAAAAAAATATTACTGTAGCTCCCTCTGCACCAGCTTCTCCAGGTTGACCATTTAGACCAGGAAATCCTGGCTCACCAGTTGGTCCTTGCTCCCCAGTTTGACCAACATCACCAGTTTCACCCTTGATACCAGGAGCGCCTGTAGCACCAGATTGTCCTTTGAAACCCTGTGGTCCTCTTGGTCCTAAATAACCTTTATTACCATCTTGGCCCTAAAGAGTTATTAAATACCTTCTAAAAAAAATTTCAAATAATTTTCTATTGCTAACCATTCTTCTGAAAATAAATTAAGAAAGAAAAAGCAAAAAAAAATAAATTAACACCAAAAAAGTAAAAAACATAGCCATTGACTTACAGTTTCTCCGATTATGCCTCTAGTACCATCTGGACCTCTTATTCCAACCTGACCAGGAGGTCCAACCTGGCCTATTACACCTTCTGGTCCAGGAAACCCAATAGCACCAATGTCGCCTTGTTCACCTTTTTCACCCGCATATCCCTTAGACATAACAAAAAAAAGTAATTTATTTCACATAAATTATATATATATATATATATATATATATATATATATATATATATATATATATATATATATATATATATATATATATATATATATATATATATATATATATATATATATATATATATATATATATATAAAGAGAGAGACTGATCTTTTAAGGATAGGAGCATTAAATTTTACATTCATATGTTTAGGGATTTAATATTAATATCATTTGAACAAAAAAAAATCGAAAAAACTAAAATCAAAAATAATTACTTGATTAAAATACTCACCTTTGGTCCAGTTTTTCCTGGTTCTCCAACTTCGCCAGGACTTCCTGGAACACCTTGGTCACCCTTATATCCAAAGGGCCCTTGCGGACCTGGTATGCCAGGATTACCAGTTAAACCCTGTTTTCCTGGAGGTCCAGGAAGACCAGGATCACCAGGTGAACCCTGTAGCAACAATAAAAATTTTATATATAAATTGAAAAAAAAAAAACTTTTATCATTAAAATGTTGTTTATATTAACGAACCGCTCTACCATCTTCGCCGTCATCACCCTTCAATCCAGTTAATCCAAATGGTCCAGTCAATCCAGGAGCACCAGTGCGCCCTTTGCGACCACGTAGGCCAATATCTCCAGTAGGCCCTGGTGGTCCGGCTTTACCAACTGGTCCTTCTGGACCTACAGGTCCGTCTTTTAAGTCAAAAGAAACATAGCTGCTTCCAGGAAGGCCACCTTCTACAAGAGCTCCAACAGCAATAGCATTTGGGTCAGGTCCTTTATCTTGCAAACTTCCCACCCCACCTCCTGGAGGTCCAGCCAAACCAACATCACCTTTTGATCCTTTTTTCCCAGGCTTTCCACTATCACCCTGAAATTTTTTCAAAGATAAAGAATACTATTTTTTAAATATTTATTCAATAATTTAAGATAACAATTATTCATTAAGATAAGCTCTTAATATAATAAAAGCTCTTAATATAATAAAAGTAGTTATTATATTAGAAAATAAGTGAAGAAAAGTGTCTGGTTTTTGATAAGAAATAAAATATTAAATAATCAAGATAAAAAAATTGTACTTTTTGACCATTTTGTCCAGGAACTCCATCTGATCCAGGTGCACCAACAGCTCCCTTAAAATAAAAAGCAATCAAGCAAATGTCAATAAATTCAATAATACTTTATTGTAATATAAAAAGTTACTATAAAAAGCTTGCACAAAATTTTTTAATAGAATATTAATGTCAGTACACAAATTGTGACAAAAAATTTACAAAAAAAAACAAAAAACATCATAGTTTGTTATGTTTGTTATGTTTTGGGGCATTTTTTTACCAATTAAAACTTTTAGTGGTTTAAAAAACCTCTATTTGATCATATCTTTGATCCAATAAAAATTTGTGTGGCAGAGCTCAAACTCTTTATGAATGTTTCCTAACTTCCTTAGCATTTATGAATGTTTTCAACTTCCTTGGCATTTATGAGATACTGTATAATATACAAGTTAGGAAAAAAAAATTAAATAAAAAAC